CCCTACAAGCCATTTCTTGAAGCGAGCATTTAGCGCACCCCAGGGCCTCCGACTACCAGAGCACGTCGTGATCGACGACAGACCGTCAACGGACACGTCTGCTGCCACCAATGGCAACCCCCTTAAACCCCTACAAGGGCATTCCAGACGGCGAGAAATTTTGCGCACCAACACTCCTCTCGCAATCAAGTCGCACGCAATGGTCCACACATCATGCGTAGGACGGTAGGATTCCAGCGGATCCTCAAAGTCCGCCGGGATCCGAACTTGGCGGATGCGAGTGCAGTGAGTCACAGGTTTTCGCGCGGCTGCAACGGTTGGAACGGTTGGTCGGCGTTTGCATAGAAACAGACGTTGCTTGGCTGCACCCCCCATAAACCCCTACAAGCCATTTCTTGAAGCGAGCATTTAGCGCACCCCAGGGCCTCCGACTACCAGAGCACGTCGGGATCGACGGCAGACCGACAACGGACACGCATGATGGCACCGACGGAAACCCCCGTAAACCCCTACAAGGGCATTCCAGACGGCGACGAATTTTGTGCACCAACACTCCTCTCGCAATCAAGTCGCACGCAATGGTCCACGCGTCATGCGTAGGACGGTTGGATTCCAGCGGATCCTCAAAGTCCGTCGGGACCCGAACTTGGCGGATGCGAGTGCAGCGAGGCACAGGTTTTCGTGCGGCTGCAGCGGTTGGAACGGTTGGTCGACGTTTGCACAGAAGCAGATGATGATTGGGCGCACCCCCGTAGACCCCTACAAGCCATTTCTTGAAGTGAGCATTCTGCGCACCCCAGGGCCTCCGACTGCCAAAACTCGTCGGGATCGACGACACCCCGATAACGGACACGCATGATGGCACCGACGGAAACCCCTGTAAACCCCTGAATGGGCATTCCGTACGGCGAGGAATTTTGCGAACCAATACTCCTCCCGGTAGCAACTCGCACGCAAAGGTCCACACCTCACGCGAAGGACGGTCAATTTCCCGCGGATCCTCAAAGTCCGCTGGGATCCGAACTTCGCGGATGCAAGTGTAGCGAGTAACAGGTTTTCGCGCGGTCGCATGTATAAGAACGGGTGCTTGGCATTTGCACAGAAGCAGGCCATGCTTGGGCACAACCCCCCATAAACCCCTATAAGTCATCTCTCGAAGCGTGCATTTTGCGCAACCCAGGGTTTCCAACTAACAGACCACGTCGGACAGTCCGGGGTCTTGAACGGGGTGGTTGGATTTGCGCGGATCCCCGAACTTCCCGAAGTCCGCCAAGATCCGAACTTGGATTGTAGAAGTTGACATCACCACGGCCTTGCGACTGCCTCAGAAGGTTATTCCAGGAATTCTTTCAGAAGAAATTGATTGTAGAAATGTTTAGACCGTAGTTCGTACAGCCAAAAGTGTTGGATATGCCCTTACGTTCGTGCGGAGAGGAAATAAAGCGATACACGCGCTTTGTGTCATTACGTGCGCCGGCAATGGAAGCTCACAGCGTTGGATATGTGGTTTTAACAGCGCGAGTCGATAGCTCCGAACACCCTGCCAGCCGCCACCGTGCGAGGGTCGCAACACGAAGTTCGGATCCCGGCGAACTTCGCTTGTTGGCGCATGCGATGTGGCGAGCTGC